AGTACGAGCCACAGCCCGGCTGATAGGAACTGACTTAGGTGCTTGTCGTGCCAGCTTAAAGGGACTGCCAGGGTCTTTTGGTAATCCCCTATGTTGCGGAGCAGTTGAACAGTCTCGGGCCCTGACATTTATTGTATGGTCTCTTAACGGCCTAGTGACACCCTGCTTTTCATTGGGGGAGGGTGATTCGTCTCCCAAATCTTTTGCTTTTTTGTGATTGTTTTCGTGTGCAAGTTCGGTACTAGTCCTTAGGATTTTCAGGTGTAAAAATCATGTATTCTCCCTCCTGCGTTCCAGGGAAAATACGGGTTTTTAGAAACCTCAAGCGTCCAGTAATTGAGGTGTTTTTATCCGTAGCGCGCCTGAAGTTTCTGTAATTTTCTAGTCGAAATTTTCACCTGCCTGAAAGTGCTGTTAGAGTGCGCAATATTCCAGCTAGATAGAACAATGACTGAAGAGTTTTCTCATGGGTTTGGGGCTTACAATCTTTTTTTTTATTTTCCCGGTAAGTTTGATGGCAAAAAATTTTTTTAGCCTAAATGTTAGAAAAAAAACTATTTTTTCTAAGAAAAAATAATTTTTTTTCTCAATATTTCTCGAACCTTGAGACAATCTGGGAGAGGGCCTGTCGCCTCAAAGGTATTAATGCTACGTTAATACGTGGCTCTAAAAATAAAGGGACATGTATCTCCTTTTAAAATTAAGAGACCAAAATATAATTATGAGGCGAATATTTACTATTGCCCGGTAAATGAATAGCTGACATTTTTTTTTTTTTTGCATGGGTTCTGAACATGGCGGTGTTGGGAGTAATGAACAGGCAAACTTAGCCACTTGGTTAGCTGTTCATAACCCTCCAATTTTGCACAGAACTTTTTTTCACTCCTTATTTTTCAATGATTTGTCGATAATTCAGCAGCAATTGACAACACCGATGCTATGAGTTGAACCATATTATTTTTTTTTAAACCCGCGTCTAGGTTTTTGGCCATCTTCCCTCCGCAGTTGTGTTTGGGAGACTGCACTCTCCCGCCTAAGTATCGGCGGCAGGCACCTCACTCGCTGGTACCTTATGTGATAACTCCCAGCACCACTATGTAACGACTGTCAGGTGGCACTGTTAGTTCACAATATCTTAACTGATTATTCTGTTTATCATTGGGCATGCGGAATTCACTTCCGGCATTTCCACTATGACAACACACGTGTTATAACTGACTTCTCCCGTACCGCCACTACAACTCTTGCACACTTTTGCCCCTAACATATTCCTCCTGCAGTGCTGTATGACCCTTTGGGTTTATCGCTTATTTTAATTATATTATTATTATTATCATTATTATTATTATTATTATTATTATTATTATTATTATTATTATTATTATTATTATTATTAGTATTATTATTATTATCATTATTATTATTATTTTTGTTTTTATTATCACTTTTTTATTGGTCTAGCGTACTCAACTTGTTGACAGTTCAGGACCCCAGCAGCTGTCCCCCGGGATGTCTCCTCTAATTGTCTGTCGTCTATTTTCCCCACGGGGCTGTCAAAAAGAGTGATTATAAACAGGGTTAATACTCACCCTGTTATATATTATTCAAATAGAGCAGGTATGTCACCTGGAAGTCGTGGGCGCGCCTTACATGTGTCTCGGGCGTGGGCCTGCATATGACAGCCTTGGAAGGTTAGGCCTTTTCACCTAACATCTACCCTAGGCACTGCAGTAGTAATTAGGCGGATGTTGGGTAAAATAGTGACTTACTTGGCTCGTCGTAATGGGAGCTGGTGACTTTACGACGTCGAAGAGGCCGATATCACTGGCTTGATTGAAGAGATGAAGCTGGACGCTTTCACTTCTGTCGTCTGCTTGTCAAAGTGAACATTACCTGACGACTGTCACTTGTTCACAAGTTTGACTTATGAACTATTTTTGTGGATAATCTCCACGAGTAGGGAGAAAGCTCTCCCCATACAGTTAGTTAACGAATGAGCGACATGAATATTTCTACCATGATAATTATTTGGTCACTAATATGTCCGCAGTTACTCCTGGCAGGAAGTGTCTGGCACTCGTATGCATAGGAGAGTTAAGTATTTCTTATCTCTTCTACAGTTCTTCCTGGAGACTGTCAGTGCACGACTCAGGATTTACATATGCACACAAATATGGTCACGAATGTTTCTGCATTCCATTGCGGTGTGGCCCGGCTTGGTAGCACCTGGTCACCTCGTCACATCCTCACTAGTCGAACTAAAACCGCAATCTTCTCATCGAGACCTCTCGAATTTCTATTTTCAGGCGGGTTTCTGGTAATCTAAGGTCTACTGTTGTAAAAATGCCAACTCTAGTGACTCAGCACAATCAAGAAGTGCAGGATTTCTTGCGTTTAAGGTGCTGGTTAATGATAATAATACCCTTAGCCGTATTAACAGTTTAGAGGCAAGTTTTCACATTTTTAATTGTAAGAAGTCCCTCAGGCTAACAAGTGACTGTAAAACATTGTAGTCACTCTTGTAAGGAGTATAGACTCTACTGGACACGTGTGTGTCTCATGTGACCAATCCCATTAGAGTGTCAGGTTCTGTAAAGTAAGCAACTTGTGTTAAGATAAATGGGCGTTCTAGTATGTTCTAATTAAGCTGTGTCTGCATGACACAAGACCTGACTTCATCTCTGCTAATGACTCCTCTCTTGCTAACTCTTGTTCAGAAGTGTGGGAGAGAATTTCTCCATATAAGGCGTGTATGATTATCAGAATTCAAATAAGTTCAATAAAATAGAACCATATTGAAATCATAGAACTGCCTTAATCAGATAACTACTTAAATCCTTGATCAATAAATCATTATAAATAAACATGAGATTTTCATGATTGCTCTTCATTGGACTTCTTGGAAATCTTCATATCTGCTGCAACCATGGAGAAATTGATGGTCCTTTTCATGCATGCGCAACGATGTGCATGTCGGTACTTCATAAAAATATTAAATAAGTGGAGGCTATGCTGGTAATATTTTCCATTAAGCTCCTAATGAAGATCTTAATATTACTGATTGCGAAAAGGATTAAGGAATTCTGGTTTGCAGTAATCTGAAACCAAAACAAAAGTGCATAGGTGTTCGCTATGAAACTAACAGAATCCCTGGCTTCATATCAAGAAGTATAAATAATAGAAGTCCTCAAGTTGTTCTTCAACTCTATATATCTTTGGTTAGGCCTCATTTAGATTATGCTGCACAGTTCTGGTCACCGTATTACAGAATGGATATAAATGCATTGGAAAATGTACAAAGTAGGATGACAAAGTTGATCACATGTATCAGAAATCTTCGCTATGAGTACAGACTGAGAACCCTGAATCTGCACTCTCTAGAAAGGCGTAGAATTAGGGGGGATATGACTGAGGTGTATAAATGGAAAACAGAAATAAATAAAGGGGATGTAAATAGTGTGCTAAAAATATCTAGCCTAGACAGGACTCGCTTTAAGTTGGAAAAATTCAGATTCAGGAAGGATATAGGAAAGTACTAGTTTGGTAGTGGAGTTGTGGATGAGTGGAACAAACTCTGGAGTACCGTCATAAAAGCTAAGACGTTGTGTAGATTTAAAAATAGGTTAAATAAATACATGAGTGGGTGCGGGTGGGTGTGAGTTGGACCTGAGTAGCTTGTGCTACTAGGTCAGTTGCCGTGCTCCTCCCTTCTATTGGCTTAAGCCAATAGAGGAATTAGACCTGCCTCGCACAGGTCTGTAGGCCTGCTGCAGCGTTCTTTCTTTCTTATGTTCTTATTTAATAAACAGAACTTTCATCTGCATTACCCGCTGCTACTAGGTTGTCTTCTAATCTTCAACTATAGAATTTTTTTCTGCATCGCATGTGATCAGGGAAAGGTCCAAGGTTCTAATTTCCTTGGAATGGGAGAAAGTTCATATTACTGTATAGAGATTTCCATGAAATTTTGTACTACACGTATTAAAAATATTTTTTTTCCGAAATGTTACATTTTAGGTAGAACAGAAATATTCTAATAAGAGTACAAAATTAAATACCTGAATCCATTTTCCTGCAAAAGCATTAATAGGAAGGAAAGTTCCTGCTGTATGAAAAACCCGAATTACGAGTGTCATAACTTACTGAGGCCATATTTGCTTATGCAACCTGGTGCATTTTACCCACACATTTGGGAGGAACACCACAGATAATTTCTCTCAACAACCATACGTGATATCATTATATCCTAAAAACTTTTGTCCCAGTAAATTGGTCACGGATTTCTAAGTTTTTCTTCTACTGATTAATTTTAGCAATAAAATTAAGACATGGTCAGTTGAAGAGAATGACAGAAGACAGGTCAGGTGAAGAGAATACTGAAAGAAGCGTCGGATGAATAGCTGAGGATGAAACTAGAGAACATTGTCAGGTGAATCTGTGAGAAGAAAGCCAGATGACAAATCAGGTGAAGAGCTGAGGAGAGGCAAGTCATATGAAGAGCATACCAGCATATAGATCACGCGAAGAGGTGACCAGAAAATCGAAAGGTTGTTGAGGTTGGTACACAATAAGATAATTAGAAAATATGTCAGATGAAGAATGAGGAGAAAATTAAAAGACTGGTCAAGTGAAAATAATACAGGAACACGTTTCAGATGGAGTGATAATATTTTATGTGTTCTGAAAATCAGAACATTTGACAACATACTGGGAAAGACAAACATAAACTTATAAATAGTGTGGTAAAGAGAATCAAATACCTACAAAGTACATAAATTTCATGAAAGGCAAATGTCGTGACTTGACAATGATTCCGCCGGTCGCAATCTGGAGAAGACGCGGGCCGGAAGTACCGGGGAACCTACATGAAAGAAGGCGAACTGATACGTTATCTAAAGTTTCCTCTCGAAATATTTGATTAGTAGCGAATTTATAGTCTTAATATAAAGATCCTTTTGTCGTCTTGTGGCTAACTTAAAGACTCTTCCTCTCTTTCTCAGCTATGTATGCCATGAGGAATCTTATTAGGGATCTGGAGGCTAACTTCACCACGGTTGGCCCATTGAGTATAGTCATAAAGGAGGTAATGGACGGGGAGGACGTGGTCGAGGTTACCAGGCGAGTGTATCAACGCTACTTGGGTGAAGAACTTAACATAGACGAGGATCACAGTGAAGCCCTCACACAGGTACTCCAACTCAAGGGTCAGGTGTAGTACATGGAAATATTGCATTTAAATGTGCAGCCAAAAGGTGTTCACAGATTTTCAAATCCGAGGAAGTAGTAAACTCTCATAAACTTAAATAAAGACTTTAGGCAAACCCGAGTGCTCCAAACCATGGATTAGGTACACTACATTCAGATACTGGAACCTGTGAGCTACAGGTACACACAGTACACGAGGAGGGGGGCGGGAATAGTTGGGTGCGAATCAAGCGAGACACACGTATTGTTAAACTGATTTTTTTTTCCTTAGCCTGCCTGGCAGTGGAAGTATCTCATCCGTTTCACGATTAGCAAATGGAGGATCAAGCCTCCAGCATTTCTTATACTGAATGGCCCATACCGGTTTAGTGCTTCACAAAAATACAATTAATATTATTACTATTAGAACATGCTGAAGATTTTTAAGTGTGTTTAGAAAACACAAAAAGGCCTTCATTGACTGATTGAAAAAAAAGAGGAGAAATGATAATCAGTTAAATCAATGAAGTCTTTCAGAAGAAAAAACGAGAAGCCATAATTCTAAACTAAAAAAAAAAAATAAGGAAAGCTGAAGAAAGGACATATAAATATTTACAAACATTAATGAACGGCTGGAATGAGATCTAAGGAGACAAATTTAAAACTACAATTATTTTGTGCCATCAACAGAGATTTAAAATGAACATGTGGAAAAAATTTGAGAGTAAAGAATTTAGTACATTTCGACTCTAGTCTGATAAAAAAAATAAATAATTAATTTTAAGCGCTAAACTCATGTGGGGTCATTCAGTGCAAGACGTCGTAGAGGCTTGATCCTCCGTCTGCTGAGCTCGAGATAAAAGCACTTTCTATTTGTACTCATCCTGATGTGAGATTTTAGTCAGAGACCCTCCTCTGTTGAAGACGATCCCAGAGACAAAAATTCACAGATTCTTTCCATTGTGCATTTTAATTTTCGTTCAAGTGGGGTTTACACTTGATGAAAATTGAAGGGAAATACTTCCTTTATCCTAAGTATCTTCATATAATTAAACAGAAAATCATACATATGAATGACGAATAACAATAATAATGAGACAATAAAATTCACAACTAACCAATAAATTGCGATTGAAACTTGAAGGCTTTCCGATCCGTCCAGTTTCAATATTAAATCTACTCTTAAATTAATAATGATCCAGGCTGACCGAATCGTCGTCTAGTTTCATTCATAATGTTTGGATTAGTTGTTAATTCTCATACATACTTTGTGTCTTTCCGACAAGTATGCAACGACGTTTACTTTCATGGTGGATCACGACCTTGTGAAGATGTTCTACGCATCAGCTCCCCATCACAATACTTATCGCTATGTCTTCAGTTATAGGGGGTAGATCTCTCTTCGGCGACTTATGGGTTAACACGTCGGCAAAAAACTGTAGTGTATGCACTACACGGTTAAGCGGATAATAGTGGTAGGGTCTTAATATCAATGTCAGTAACAGGTAAGGTGCTCAACGCAATTTACCGGTTATTGAAAGAAGTTATTAGTATTTTTTTTTTTGTTTTTTTTTTTTTTTTTTTTGTTTTTTTTTTTTTTTTGTTTTTTTTTTTTTTTTTTTTTTTTTTAGTATCACACCGGCCGTATTCCCACCAAGGCAGGGTGGCCCGAATTAGAAAAACTTGCCACCATCATTCATCCATCATGTATTGCCAGAAGGTGCTTGTACACTCAGTTTGTAATACTGCAACAGTAACACCCCTCCTTCAGAGTGCAGGCACTGTACTTCCCTATCGCCAGGTATACTCAAGTCCGGCCTGCGAGTTTCCACGGATTCCCTTCAGAAATGTTACTGTGCTCTACACTCCAACAGCACGTCAAGGATTTAAATAACCTTGTGTCTCCATGCACTCCTATCATAAATTCCGCTGGCACGTGGCCTGACGGATGTCAAAGCCCCTCGCTTCACAAATACCCGCCGGTACCACCGCCCTCCTATACCGCCTAGGCCGGACCCCTACCACCGCCTGCTCACTGCACTACTGACGGTTGACATTCTCTTGAAGGCTTCGGTGTCGCGCCAGTTCGCTCTACTGGTCCGATACCACGCGCTACAACCCGTCCTAAGCCCGCTGGGACAAACTGTTTTGGTAAGCCCGCTCTCCTCCTTAATTCCAATACTACGAATTATCGCAGGTGTAGTCCTCCATCCACAGGGCCGCAGTCATGACAGCTCCACTGCTCTCCAGCCGGATCCGCGCGGCACAATCCTGGTGGGCAGCACCCTCGCTTCACACCCTTATATAGAGCCGGTGGGTAATATACGGTGAAGCGCAGACTGTCCCCGCTGGGCCGCCTAAGGACTAAGGTCGGTGTCTCCACAGTGCCTAGGGCACCTCGCACGGTGGTCCATCAGGCTCTATGGCTCTGAGTTGCACCGCTCGGTCGAGACCATTCCGCGGACACGTCCACTCCCACATTTCTGGTAATACGGTCACCTCCGCCTTACGCGCGCCCGCCAAGCTGATATTCAAGCTGGCAGCTACCCTAAGCGGGGGGGTGAGCCGCATAACCGTACGCTGTCCGGTTGTTCTGGGTTTTGCCTGCGTGGTGCATCCTCGTACCAAATTCAGCCTCCATTGCTCGGCATACTTGCTCTTCAGATTCGCCAAAGGCACAGGGGCATCGGCAATGTGCAGCGGTGACAACTCCACTTGGTGGGTGATCTTTATCTGTATTAACGCCACGCCGTCTGGCCAAGACCCGCGCAGTTACTTCTCTTACAAACCCCAGCGATGAAATATAAGTATAATCAACCACGGTGTCATCACACATCCTTGGCTATGGATTCGTGTACTGGGTAATATGTGTCCCTTTTCTTTCCTACATACGTAAACTTGAGCCTGCCACTAGCCTCGCTATTAACTCTTCACTGCTTGCAGGAACCTACCTCCGACACATACTCGTGCTTCATAGCGGCCATCAGTGCCCCTCCTGCCTCCCGGGCAGACGCCTTTGCCAAGCCATTGATAAATGCCTCTATGACTCGTGGGCCGTATGCGATATTACTGTGCACTGGTGGGTGAACGGGTTAAAACCTGGTCCACACACGCCCCTACCGTTCCTAATGCCGCCTGGGGCTTCTGTATCCGATTCTCACGTCTGACGCGTCAATGCGGTCATGGTGACTCGACCAGTCACTGGTCCGATGGTTCTCGCTACAGTACTGTGCCCCCGATGAAGGGTTGCAACTCGTCGGTTATTCCCCTTTGCCGGGATTATCATTATGGATTCTTAGGCAGGCGCGCGGCAATCCCGAGGGTACTGACTCCTCTTCATACATTTATTAAATATTGCACCATTACCACTCAAAAAACTATATTTCCCCACTGCTTTTATCAGTTCTATTTTATCCCATCAATCCGGCTGCCTTACCCCCTTTTTTTTTGTCATTGACCCTACTGCTCACGAACTTCCACCACACGCACAACTGGCTCTTGCCGCACTCCGACATGTTGTTATTCCGCCTTGCCCGATACACGATAATCACAGCTTCCCTGATCTTCATCAACATTTTAACAAGGCCGCCAAAATTTCCTTCCATCTTCCCAATACCTCTACCTCTCCATTTATAACTCTTCTCTCTATTTTTAACTGACAAAATCCATTTGTTCTTAGGCTTTCTTAACGTGTGAATCTCACTGCCAAAACTTTTTCTTATGTTCTACATAATTTTGGGGAATAACTTCGCACCCACTCCTCTCATTTGCTCTCGTTTTACATTGCTTTCACCACTCTCTTAACTTCTCTCTATTTCTCCATTTCTCGTTTCCTCCGTGCATCATCTTCGACTTTGTAAAATTCGCTATATGCTAATCTTTTTTCTACCTTCTACTCTCTTTACATTCATCATTCCACAATCCGCTCCTCGGCCCCTCCTGCACCCACGTTCCTGTAACCACAATACGTCTGTCTGAACACTCTATAACTACATTTTTAAACCTACCCCCAGATCTGCGTCCCTCATTGGCCTATGCTCTCTGTAGCCCATCTATCCTCCAATAACTGTGATATTTGACTCCCCTAACTGCCTTCCTCTGTTTGTTGATAATACCTTCACCTCTGCTCTTCCCTGTTGCGTATATTCGCCTGTATCCCATCTACCTTTTACTCGCAGTGGTAGCTACAACGAAGTGAAGTGTTGGATTTATCTGTGGCCCCTCTATAAACAGGTACATCCTTGAATCTTCTCAAACAGTCTTTTATCTACCTAGACATTAATCCAACATAACTACTGTAATTGCGCCCTACATCATTTCGGGGAGATACGTAGTTTTCCCTCTTTTCTCTTTAAAATATGGTTTTGCCTATGAATCTAGACCCCTTTCTAGACAAGGTCTAATCAAGGGCTCCCCAGTTTCTCATTTACACCTGGCACCCATAACTTACCTACCACACCCTTCTCTAAAAGTTTCTCCTACATTTAGCATTCAAGTCCCTACCACAATTACTTCTCACTGGTGTCAATGGCTCCTATACATTCACTTAAACATCTCCATAATCTCTCGCTTCCTTCTGCATTCTTCTTCTCCAGGTGCATTACTCGCTTATTAGGACCCACTTCTCGCTCCAACCTTTACTTTAATCACTGAATTCTGAATTTACCATTCATATTCTCTTTTGCCTTCCATAACTGATCAATTTAACATTACTGCTACCCCTTCCTTTGCTCTACTCTCTCAGATACTCCAGATTTAATTGCCCATTTATTTCCCCCCACGAACTCTCTACCCCCTTCAGCTTTGTTTCGCTTAGGGCCAGGACATCCAACTTCTTTTCATTCATTAACATCAGCATTCATCTTGGCTTTCTTGTCATCCGCACTACATCCACGCACTTTAAGTCAACCAGTTTTATAAGTTTTTTCTTCTTCTCTTTTATAGTATATTGTATACAGGTGAAGGGGTTACTAGCCCATTGCTCGGATTTTCGTCGCCTCATTCGACACGCATGGCTTCGGAGGAAAGATTCATTTCCATTTATATACATATAATATACATACTATATAATAAGATTTATATATATATATATATATATATCTAGATATATATATATATACCTATATATTTTTATATAGTTATATAAGTAGTCGATTTTTCCACTGAGGGCTCCTCCGGGTTTAGGGGCTTCACTGGGAGGGCTCCCCTTCCGGTTTAGGCTTCACTGGGCGGTGTATCCAGGTCTAGGGACAGGCAGCTGGAGGGGTCACTTTTACACTAGTTTGTTGACTTCGGTTTTGATCCATGACCTCGCCCTCGAGACTACCTCACCCTTGACCCCCCAACCAATACCCCGCACGACCCCCGCCACGACCCCGTCGCCGGCGCGCCCGCCCGCGCCCTTCGCGACCCGACCGAGATTCTGCAGCGTCGTCCGGATCGACCCGCGCCTCGAGTTGTTTTTCCGATTTTGTTCGGATATTTTTTTTTGAATTTTTCATTTTCTTGTGATTCATCTCCGCGGTTAAATGTTGAAGGTTCCCTCCCACTTTCACCCCCAACCCAAAAAAGTGCTCGAAATCAAAGTGCCAATTCCTCGGATCCTAAATTTTTTCGAAATCAATGGCTCCATCTCCTCAGATCAAATTTTTAAGGTTGCCCCCTCCTCTTTCACACCCCAATCCCAATAAAATTTCTCGATAATACAAGTTTTGGATTCCCCCTATGGGGTTTTCGAATTCTCATGATCTCCTCGATCAAATTTTTTCGAAATCAAAGTCTTCCATCTCCTTGGATCATGGGTTTTGAATTTCTCAATTCCTGGGATCAAATTTTGGGGTACCCTCCTTTTCACCCAATATTTTCTCGATAATACCTAAGTTTTTGGATTCCCCCCTAGGGGGTTTTCGAAATTCTCCCTCGGATCAAGTTTTTTCGGGATCCCCCCTATGGGGCTTTTCGAAATTCCCCTCCCACTTCACCCCCCCCCATCCCATAAATTTCTCGATAATACAAGGTTTTGGATTCCCCCCTATGGGGGTGTCGAAATTCTTTTGATCTCCTCGGATCAAGTTTTTCTCGAAATCAAGTCATCTATCTCCTTGGAATCATTTTTTTTGGATTACCCTTCTCACTTTCACCCCCATCCCAAATTTCGATATTACCATAGTTGTGGATGCCCCCCTATTGGGGGTTTCGAAATTCTCCAATTCCTCTGGATTCAAGGTTTTGGATTCCCCCCTCTGGGGTAAGCATTCAGATGAACTTCTCCTATGGGGCATGGTGCTCTCTTCTTTACTTTCAGGTCTAATAACAAGTGTGACGTCTGGATTTCCTTCATAATGTGTTTACTCGACGGTCAGTGACGGTCACGCGATGGACCCCACACACATCAGGACTGAATCATGACGACCGTCGATGTTCATTAAAGGTTAGAAGGGGTAAGATAGTACCTGTATCTTTAGGGAAAACAGTTGTTATCAGCAGAAAAGTCGCATGGGGTTTTCGTTTTGACCCTCATGTGGCTTGACAACTACTTGGACGAGACATTTTGTGATACTTATTTCTGCTATAGGTCACGCCCCCACGAAGGAATCTCTCCGCCCACCGCCCGAACCCGTCATCGCATACCAACACCTCACTATTGGGCACGCTCAGTATACCCCCATTGTGGGTCGCGGGGGAACCCTTTGAGGCCCATTTAGTGTAATAAGGGGACACACTACATCAGAAGCACGCACAACACGTATAACCCTTTCGGTAAAGGCTACTATCACATTTTGACAGATGACGATGGCCCATAGTACGCACTGTTGACTGTTGGAACACCTTTCAAAAACATCTCTTAAAATCATTTGAATCTCACCAAACATACCGTTATACATTTCCAAACAACACTGTATAGTCGTCCATATAACATCATGCGAAAAACCCCTGATAATCTCATCGGTCAGCCTCCCTGGATCACCGTCAGAAGGGCGCGGGCCACAGCATTTGATACACCGGCATGAAGGACTCTCAGAAGTCAATTTGGTCCTCCTTCAAAAAACACCTTTGATACTCACATAAACACCCTTGCAACACCTTCAAAACACCTTGGATTAACCTCAAAGCACCTTCAACACCTTCAAACACCCTTAGATCACTTCAAAACACCTTTGAACACCTTCAAAACATTCTCATATCATTTGAACACACTCAAAAACACCTTGAATATCTCAAAACACCTTGGGAACACTTCAAAACACCCTTGAACACCTACTAACACCCCTTGAACACCTTCAAAAAAACAAACTTTGAAACCCCACTTCAAAAAACACCTTTGAACACCT